TTCTTTATTTTCTTTCCTTCTTTCTTTAGTTTAAGAGAAATATCAACTGCTAAGCAATCAAAATAATTGTACTTTACTTTATATTAATTGTATTTTATTCTGCGCTTTTAGTAAAATTTCTTTTTTCTTATTTATGTTAAATTTATTTTATTTTATTTATGTATACTATATTGATTTGTAATAATAAGATTAGAAACGAGACTACTGATTTAAATACAAAGTCTATTCAGATCAGTACGAAGCCATATGTGCATGAATTATGAGTTTATTTATTCATATGTGATAGAAAAAGATGAAACACTCCAACTTAATTTACACATAAATTTAGAAAAATATTATCCATGAAGTAACGATTATATATTTTATCTCATTTAATTTATAATTTTTACATTTACTTCTCGTTGAGAAATTCTTCGTTAATCCGCTTTTGCTAGTTTCGGAAATGAAATGATGGTGTACCGAGATTGATTCTATTCATGGCATTTGCGAAGCGTATTTCCTATGCCTCTTCCCAGATTAATGTTGATTTTCAGGAATTTATTAACACAAGATAATCCTGTTTATAGAATTCATAAATTCATGCACCTCGTGCTCTCTGGTTGCTATCAACATATGCTTGTTTCTCGTTTGTTAACAATTTGACCGTTGTAACAGTTTAATTCGTATGATAAAAGCACTTAATGCCCACCGAATAAACTGTTATGAATTATAAAGCTTTATCGGAAGTAACGAGAAAATACGGTAGGAAATTGCGGAACTATCGTTCAAAATGGCAAGAGTTACACTTGTTACGGAGCACACTTGAGATATAATATATACGACTTAAGTTATGCAAATACTGAATGATGCAGTGGTAAATGTGAATGTTAGGCAGTTAAAATAACATAGAAGGCTAAAAGATACTGTACAAACTTGTATGTGTAAACAGAGTATGACAATAAATGAAATAGCACATGCAGCATTTCGTAAACAAACCACATTTATTATTTATTATGTTGATGTAACTGATATCCCTTCTAAGCATAACAAAATAAGTAAAAAGAAAGATTAATTCATCACTATACTGTTTTCAGTTAGCTGGATTAATAATTTTGTAATGGTCTTTGACTAGATTAAAAAATTCTTTACACGGAATGTAGTTCTTCATATTAGACTTCAATGATGGTATCTAAATTACTTATCTTTTATCTATTAGAGCAAATACATAATTTGTGTGTAATAATTAGAAGATATTCTCTACAGTTCTCTAGTGCAGTTGCTTCTTCTTCCTTAGGAGATTCATTAACACAAGTTCTCTTGGTATACGGGAGTTACAACGCACGTGCCGACTTAGTTTTCCCTAAGTTCCCCTTCGGTTTTACGTATGCCTCATTAATTACTGCCACCGTCTTTCAACACTCGGCTAAATGGCCATTGCACGATTCGGCGAAGTTGCTTATTGCTGCTCCGTTTCGCCGTTGCTCATTCAAGAAGTTCAAGACAAGTCTCGAACCGTATTACTTCCGTGCGAGAGATCGCTAAAAGAGATTCACGCTTATCCTTTAGCAGTACTATCGATTTTTTCAATTCATTAATATCCCTGATACGGCGCGCTGCCTTTCGAAGCGAAAATTGGCCGATAACGCATTGTCGACTTTTTTTTCATATTCTACGCGATGGCGTTTTTTGATTACGAATTTGCGCTCGTTACCATCAAAGCGGCTAATTAAACGGCGTTTTTTTTGTTAATTTTTCTGTTCTCCAAGCGAATGTTCGATAAATCATTCATTGGACTTGGCTACTGGGAATGCGACGATAAATTAGTTTTTACCGCATAATTAATTGCAGTCCTAATAATTCGGCATGTTTACACAGCACACGTAGTCAAATGTGTGGCATGCGTTCTACGCTGGGCGTTACAAAGGTGATTAATCAACGCCACACGAATTCCCGTAGTGTATAAACTAGAAATTAACGTCCGATCGATATATGCGTAATACATTTGACTAATCTGATTAACGATTGAATTAATTTCATTTTTGTGATCCAGAAATGCTCTACGAGAGGCTGGTTTGAAAATAATTGACCCATAGATATAAGAGGGAGAGAGTAGGTGTAAGTAATTACATATGTTTGAATAACGCGGCTATCGTTCTAATTGAAATAGATGTATTAGAGATTATTTCAATTTCTATATCGAAAAGATGTAAGGGAGATTGAGACTTATTGATACAAGAAATAAATTTACATTCCGTTTATGTATTTATGACGAAAAAAGCAATGGAAAAGTTACCGCAAAGTATCTCTTTTCTCTAAAATTCATTTAACTCAAACAAGTACCGCAATAAAAAAAAGAGAAAAATCTGATTCAAAAAGAGGCAAGTAAATTTGTTAATAATCTCATATTTATGTTCTTCAGCTTGAGAGAGTAAAGATCATGGCACACGCAAAAATGTATACAGTAAAATGTAAGCAGTAAGAAAATCAACATGTTGGATTTGCTACTGTTTACTTTATGGCCTTACGGTCTCTACTGTGATTAATCAATTCACTTACTGCTTACATTTCACTGCTTAAGTTTTTTGTATACTATGTGGCCCTAAATCTACGTGACATATTTATAGTTAAAAGAAAAGTTTCTATTACCATGCGACATGTATTTTGAATAAGAACGGTAACTTATTATCATAAAATGATTGAAATCAGACATTAATATATATAGAGGGAATACGTTAACTTATATATTTAGTTACAACACTTAACTCTGACGAAATATATATTTAATACTTCTATATTTAATTACATTTAATATTTCTATATAATCTGTATTTAATATTTCTATATTAATAATAGGATATAACTGAAACAGTTTATATTTGTTTTTCCATTACATTTTGCTATTTAATTATTATAAAGTAACTTTAAAGGTACAATTTTTACCAAGAAGTACATATCTGCGATCTGTTTCTTATTTTTATTACGATTTTATTAATTTAATGTGGAATTTATGTGTAGACAACTTCCATCGTGATATTTGTTCCACTATGAGAGCAAGTTAGCTACAATGTAGCATGTTCGTATTTCGCTTACTACAAAAAATCTACACAGAACCGTTCCCGACATGAAAACGTAGAGAATGGTTCTCTCTTCCATTGTAGTGTACATTTTAATCATAATAATTAGTTTAAATAGTTTAATGCCGAAATTGTGAGAAAGTTCTCTACGTATATTCCAAAGAGTCTCATTTACGATTTTTCCAAATCATAGAATTTGGTCGGCTGTTGACCATATCTTCTCTTCAGTCTTTATTCATATTTGAGGAACAAAATAGATTTACTTTAAGGGAAAGAAATCTCAAACAGAAATCAGACTTTTGATACGAATTCGTACTTTAACGAATCTACATTTGTTAAAAATGTAGTACGTTGCTGGAAAACTTAGTGCACTTTATTGTGCACTTTATTTCAAGAAACATTTCAATTGTATGCGAAGTAACCGTTTCAATAACAAATTAATCATTACACGTCGTGAGACATTAATTCTATCCAAACAGAATATACCGTATTGTATTATGCTTATAATGTTCCCTTGTCAATCTGAACGACCCCGAGTTTCAGGTGAATTGAATTGCACGAACTATAGGTACGTGATTATCGATACCAACAGAATTCGTAACATGATGAAGCGATGAATTCTGCGAGGAAGTTCAGACCTTCTAAGATACCCCCTGGTACCCCGCTCGGAATATTAATATAACTAAAGGGAAGACGAAGCAAGGGAGGGGAAGTCGGAATGCAATCGCGAAATATTTGAATCGGGCGATAGACCGTGTTCCGCGCGGCAGTAAACGTTTCACGGCGCACAGTATATTTGTCGCGACCTCACGATACTTCAACCCCTGTCTTGAATGGGCGCACGTGCGCCGAATTCAGCCGCGGGGCCGACGACCATTATTCTCCCGGTGGACGCAGTCCTGTTGCATCTCGTATTCTGTGGCGTCGGCACACACCGCGCTGGAGCCCAAACTTGATCCCGCAGTGGCACGTGCTCGAATACAATCTGGCCCAGATCCTGGCCGGGAACGGAATGCATTCGCGCCGTGTTTGTCGAAGGATTAAAGTAGTTTGCTCGCGCTGTCGTTTGGTCGCGGATAGACCGGAATTGAACGGGAAAGTGGACCAAAGCTCGGTCCCTGACGGATTCGGAACTCTCCATCGATGCTCATGCAAGTTGGAAACTAGCGAACTTTATAATCGTCGACGTGCATTAATTCGTCCACCCCAGTGCATTAGGACTGAAGATCACTAGCGAAAGATTAATATTTACACGAGATTTAAGAACAAACTATAGGTTCATTTATTTATTGAATCACTTTCGACGAGTAAAATATTTTACTCGAAAAGTGATGTAATGCTGCAACCTTTCATTTTTATTTATAAATTTCTCTTCGACAATTTTAATTATATATGAATCCTTTATATATTTAATTACATCTTAGTTATTTAGCGTAGTAAGTTTTTAAATTTAATATGAAAGTATATAATAATTTTTTAAAGAATTTATATTTGAAAAGAGCATGATATGATTCTATGTATAGTTAAAATAGATTTGTGTTTTAATCCGATTAAATTTAATGTATAGAATGTTATCAATTATTGATTGCGATCCTAATAATATGTTTGTTGAAGCCGATGAGAGAAAAACTGCATGCAGCTTTTATCAGTATTAAAATCTGCGTAAATAATTGCTTTTTGACGCGAATTGCTGAGTATTTGAGAACAAAAAAGCAGCGACTAGGAAAACGTTCCCGGAATTGTTTATTCTGCTCATGTAACAGAAATAATTAAATTGCCTTCTATACCTTTTGCGACAGAAAAAGACTGTTGTCGACGAAGTGAGAATCTTTTCTCTCGTATCTGTTCGTAAATACGCTTTGACAAAAGAGTCGTGATTATTTGCGGCCCACCCTCCGGAATAATATACGAGGCTTGACTGACATTCGCTTTTTCTCTTTATCGTAGAAAGCCTTTGCGGGCGCCACGAGAAACGCTTACTGAATCATCTGCTGGCAAATTACAACACCTTGGAGCGACCGGTCGCGAATGAGAGCGAACCACTGGAGGTGAGGTTTGGCATCACTCTGCAGCAAATCATCGACGTGGTAAGTTATCATAATCAATTCTTTTATCGCATATTTTAAGCGGCCTTTAAACATTCATATTATTTGTACAATATTATTGATGCTCCCTTTAATGGAATTCTAAATTGAAGAACGAACTTTGACGGTATTATTGTTGTACTGATCTATACACATAGACTTTATAATACATACGTACGATTTACGAAATATCGACAGATTGCTACATATTACATCATTGTTGTAATTTTTACGCAATCTTTTTTCTTATACTAAAGCTTTTAGATTTATTTCTGAAAAAGTATAGTATTATTTTTTTGTATGATCCTTAAACCGAGTAAAGCTTTGTACGTATATGAAGTATAAAACTTTTATACGAAGTATATATTGTTACAAATTGATGTCAGAAGTCGATTGCAAGACTGTAATTTTGCAATTTTTTTTTCATATAAAATCATATACAATCCGGACTGTATTATTATCTATATTTTAATTCTGGAGAATTTTTTCACACCTGTTAAAGTAATATTATACATATGAAAAAATGGTATAACAATTATTGCATTCGATCGATGAAACAGACGATTTTAGGAACCCCTTAAACAATTTGAAACAATCTAAAGCTCAACATAGCCTCCAGACGATTAATAATGTTGTACAATAATATTGACTAGGAGTCGCTTTAGACATATCACACACAAAACACACACATATCGCAGTTTCAGAACACATTTACTTATATCATTATTGAAATCGTTATATCAATTATTTCAATACATCATGATTAAAGTCAAAATACACATTTGACAGTGAATAGTTGAATATGTAATATTGCTAACATTGATAGCCCATGACAAAATATTGGAACATATTTATAGATATATAGATACAAGTACTTAAATTGAGATCCTTCTGTACCTACCTATTTAGATAATACTATAGGTACGATATATAATTTCTGCTAAAGTATCTAAGTACTTAGATACTTATTTAGAAATGTCTAGATAATTAGATATCTTTAGCAATTAAACTTAATTTACTTTTGAAAGTATAATATCTAAGTACTTAAGTACTTTGGTGGAAATTGCATACCGTACCTAGTACTACTTAAGTACGAAGATCTCAATTTATGTAATTGTACCTGTGTATCTAGGTATGTTTCAACACTGCATATAAAGATGGTTATCTTAGCCATGGTTGCCTATCTTAACCATACTGAAGATTAGCACGAATTCGCGGATGTATTTCAAATCTTAAGAGTGAATATCCATTATGAAGCGACTATCTGTAGCCTCCGTGTGAACTCTCGAGATAAGAAGCGCCAAGATTAGCCGCGCAAGTTTTTGCACGTCAAAATATCGGGCTTATCTAAATGAGAGTATAGTTAAGCAGGGACGAATGAGGTAAGATTGCATTACGTTCTCCATCTTCGCATTTCCCTCACCGTGGTTATTTACTTCCATCAGCATTATATACAACATATATACTGTCTATATACGCGGTATATAGTGCAACGAACGTTACGGTTCTTAAAAAAAGATCTGAAAAACGCATTCGTAGTAAAGCACGCTGGCAAAACAAAAAAGAATTCAGCGTGCAGCCGTTAATTTTGTATTTAAGAAAATTTTCGTTCTGCGAAATGTTTCGTAAGAAGTTCACTGAATTTTTCCACGAATTATTTCGTGAATTCCGAAAAAAACAAATGAAATTGTAATTCAATTTTGCACGAAAACTAGAAAGTATTACGCGCCATTCTCATTCCGGATATATTGTATTATAGATAAGAAACAATTCGAGTTGAAATGTTTCGATTTGGATGAGAAGCACGTCGAGGCGGATGTCAATTCTTGGCAAGAAAAGTAGAATACATATATTTTCTGTGTGTACGGCAAAATATTAATAAATCCTATCTAAATAACCTTCCGTTCGTAGCAATCATACATATTAAATTTTCATCGATTGCGGCATCGTGTATATCTTTTTCGTATCTTGGTATTTTCTGATGCATGCATATTATATCGGCCAAGCTTGAAATTGCAAGCGTATTGAATGATCCCCGTAGACCAGTTGAAGAATAAGTCGATAGCGTTCTAGTTGTGAGCATTATCGTGATTCGTATATAAATAACATACCGATTGATCAATATTTGATGAATATAACGAATGGACAGCATCCAAACGTTCATTAAGAATTTACGATGCGGGAGTTTTTTCCCCGATCCCCGATTACAATTATAAATGGACTGGGAGAAAGTACGTCGAGATACTTGCAATCCACTTTGGTTCCACCAACCTGACGGGAGTAATATATAGTCGGGATTAAAGAAACCGATTGGAGGTGTTTCCTCTCAAAACATCCTTATGGTCAGAGTTAACGGCCGAGGGAATATATCCGTCACGCTGAGCCTCTTTATATCACAGGCTTCTGATATACTTTTCACTTGCAACGATCGTAAAATTTTACAACGTTTTATGCATGTATATCCTTCTCAAATGCTTCGCCTTCATTTTGAATAATAAAGTTTATTTAGATATTTTTTTTCTTACTATTTGTCACAAGTCTTGATATGAATATAAATGTAAGGTTGATGCAACTTAATTATAAAAAGTACAATACATACCGTTTACAGCAAACGCAAGTCGCGCGCATGCCGCACATGTCGCCGGGGCATTTCTTTTATTTACACATTTCACAAAGGATATGATTATCCGGATAACACGAGCCTTTATCTTTCTTATTCAGTTCCGTGCCGTCATTATTATTATTATTCTCATTGTTACAGTTATCGTTATATTCCGCCATAGCTTTTCCTTTAGAAGTTCATACAATCTGATATATTTTCTGTAAAAACAAAAGACCGCTATGTGTTCTGGACATTAAGAGCACAGACATTTCCAGAGCGAACTCTCTTTCTTCTCTCTAGTAGCAAAACATATTCCATTACAACCCCTGCTCGCCATCCTTACGTCGTCGTTTCGCTAAGTCGCATCACTCAACTCACTGTGCTTTTTGCCGTTGCCCTTTTCAAAGTATCGTTGCCTTTGGAAACGACGGCTGTATCTGTAATTTTCTTATTCGGCGTGAGTTGCAAGAAATCCGGCAACATTAATGAATTAATTCATAAATCTTACGGTGTAAAATTTCTCTACTATTTTCGAATAAAAGCCTTGAATTATTTTCTTTATATAGTTCATGCAATAATTACAATTCGTCATTTAATATTTTACAATTAAAATATACGTAATATTATTATTGTTGTTATTATTATTTTACAAATTTTACTGTTCATTTTTTAAATTATATTCTACCTAACAAAAAATTTAGTAATATGTAAAGTGTACTTTAAATACTTATTTCGTTATCACTCAATATTATCGATAAATAATTAAGTTAAAATAAATGTTAAACAAAAATATTAACGCAACTAAAAATTATATAAAAAATATAAAAATAAAAGAAATTTTAGTATTATTAAATAGCGATTACGTTATATTTCAAAATTTGTAGGATTTAATCAGTTTGTGATGCAAATAAAGCCAACATTGAATTAATCGTATTAAGAATATTAATATTAATCGTATTAAGAATATTAATATCCCTATGTTTAATTAATGCATTGTAATATTCACATAGGTACGTAAATAAAAATAAATTGAGCAATATTGTATATTACATAATTATTATAATTATGTAATATACAATATTGCTCGATTTATAAGCGTCACGTTATTCATCGTGAAACATAGACAACATAGCTATGAGGCGAATTCCTTTGACGACTAATCAAGAGAATTGAAATCCATTGATATTTCATCTAACCTTAGATCATAGATATGGACTGGCAATTACTACAGTTTCTACTATTAGAGAGAAAAACGTACCTTTCAGCTATTTCTCTTTTTCAAAGTATACTGAAAATGTATCTATATGTTGCGCATGTTAGTTAAGCACATTAAAATTATATCACAATTAAAAATAATATACATGGTGACCATTAAAATTGTGTTGAAAATAAACCGTTATATTATTTCCTCCTTTTGACCGTTTTTCTGATTAAGGTCAGGTATTTAAGACTCAATTTTACTCGAGTTATTATATAAACCAGTTTACAAGTATCAGCATGAACGCATTAACTATCGAAGGGAAAGTATTTCTCATGGAGTGCTTCTACAGTATAGGATGCAAAAACTATACAGAAGCGTATCATAGATTCCGTAATAAATATGGATCAGGCCAAAGAACACACAAGTGACACCTTGCAAAGTTTCAAATTTTTTGAAATTTTGTATACACATATATATTTTACGTAAATAGATGAATTTAGAAAATAGTGTGACAAAACGGGCTGAAATTATTTTTTACGGTTAATGTTTTTAATTGCTTTTGTTATATTTACAAAATAATTCAAGATATTAAAATATGTTTTGTATAAAAATTTTTTAAATAATAATAAAGTTACCACTATTCACTTACATTAATAATATTTTTAATTTTTTTTTATTTTGTAAAATTTTTAGTGTTTTTCTTTCGGCGGTTAATGTGTTCATGCTGATACTCATAAACTGGCTGGTACAACGGTTCAAATGAAATTGTCGAGTCTTAAATCCTAATCAGAAAAACGGTTATCTAAACGGAGGAAGAAAAATATAACAGTTTATCTCTTTTGTTTTACTTACAACTCCTAATGGTCACTCTGTATTGTGACAAAAATGGACGGAGACTTCCTTGTGGAGGATATGGAGCTTTCCACATCAAGAGTACCTGTGAATGTGTAATTCCACATTTAAAATTCGGGATATTTAAATAAAACACGTTAATTTTTGACAAATTTGAAAAAAATTTGAGTAGTTTGACAAAAAACAGTATCTGGCTGGAGTATATGTAGAACATATTTCGCACATACAACAAAAGAGATAAAATATTCGTGTTATTTTGAAATTATTCCCCTTCCCTCGTTTGGATGAGGTATTCCACACCTAAAAAAGTCAAAAGTCTCCGTCACTGCTAATAAAACACGAAATAAA